GTTTTGGCCTGGTAGCTGGAGTCTCAAATGTGATTAGACAAGGTGTAGGTGTGTGTTTTCAAATTTGAAGATGAGAGCATAAATTTTGTGAGATCTAAATAACATTACAGCAACCTTTTCTGCACTTACAGATGCAGAAGATAATTCATTACTGTAATTCAAGTGACCTGTATCCTACAAGCCTCATCTCATTTAGCTGACAACAGACTATAGGTGATTGTTCATTTTACAGCTGGCCTCATCTTCATCTGCTGGCTCACATAACACTGCACAGGTAGCAGAGTCCTGTTTGACAGGTGCATTACCCAGAAGTCTCCTCTCACCTTGTTTTGTGCCTCTGTGTCCCTTTGGTGATGTATGTGTTGAGGCAAAAATATGTGTGTTGCTAAGCTCCCAGCTGTGTGGACGGCCCACAGCCCTACAATGCTGTCACTTCTGCAGCTAACAACAATCACTCTTGTCACGTACCATAATTAGAGAGGGGACAAGATGTCATGTCACTCTGCCCACACCGTAGAGTCTGTGCTGCCTGTAGCATCAACAAGCTGTGTCCATATACACTGACGTCTCGCACATGGGAGCTGATATTCTGTACCATCTGCTGGAAACAAAAATGTGTGAATAAGAACAAAGGTTAATTTTGATAAGAACTACTGTAACTAGACTATTGAAAGTTCTGACAGCAATTTATTTTTACCCTTTCATCTACCAGATACATTTATAACCCAAATTTGCAATTACAGTTTGGCACTTTACTATGAGTAACATTTCTAGGAATCTGGATTGTGGTGTTACTGACACAAAGACCACTTTATAATGAATAGTTACACTCATACTGAACATGTTGGGCCTTTCAAGGCTAATTCTGGACTAAAGGAGATTTCTAAAATTACACTTGACAGGATTTATAGAAACTATTACTGAGCAGTTACAATTAATATAAATAGGTTAAACTTTGTGATTTGTTTCTAATATTCAAGAAATAAGAATTTGGCAGAATTTCTTCTGGGGAAATTTGGACTTTAATATATTATCGCATATATTCATCAAAGACCATATACAAAAACCATTTAGAGTACATCAACAACATTATCAAAATTATGATGAGCATATTTTTAAATGGACTGATACAGAAGAACCACAGATATTTTCATTCATTCCACACATTCACCTTGTCAAAACCTGGCACCTGCATTACCCATAATGCAACTCAGTCACCAACAGTTAAGTTGATGAGTCAGGTGTATTATTAGCCCTACTATAGTGTTGAGCTGCTAGCAGGATACAAAGGTCTACTAAGCTCACTTCACTCCACCGCATTCTTTTACTTTTCAAACATGTAGTCTTCAGAACCAGTTGAGACTGACTCAAGTGACGTCACGCGAGGCAGTTCGTCATCTTATGGAGAGCTTCCTCAGGAGCCACAAAAGGTATTATAATTAACTTTGTCACATATGGAGTAATATACTGCAACACCTGTGAACAAACTTTCATGTATAAAGTCGGTTCCCCTTTAATCTCAAGCAAAAGAAGAGAAAAGATCATTTTAGTAGGTTTAGCTACTAATGTACATTTCTTCATGACCTCTGTGTCCAAATCGTGGCTACTGCCCTGCTTGTGCTTGATTGCATCAACATGACAACAATTCATCATTGGTGACATCACATGTTTGAGATTCAGCTGGACAGCATGTCACCCTGTAACCACCAAGCTGTTGTTTCTTCTCCAGCACATTTTGTAGCCTTAAAACTGCCACATCAGGTGCAACCTGACCCATGTGGTTACACAGTTGGTGAGGCTGACAGTAACTGGGACCTCTACCATACTAGTGCCTGCTCTGAGATACCTCCCGTCTTACCTCTAACCCCCTGACACATCTACAGGAAGGTGTTAATCTGTTAATCCCATCTGTGGCCACAGACACATGTACTCATAAGCAAATGCTGATGCTTACAGACAACACTCCTCTATCATACAAAAATATAATAAACTGACAAAGAAATTCCTCTATGAGTATATACTTTAGAGTCATGTATGATGTGACTTCGGCCACTTTAAAATAATTCTATCAATACATTTTAATGCCTTTTATCTTTTACTATTACCTCATAACAGACACACAAAAAGCCTTGGAAACCAAAAACATGACAGAAAGAAATGGTAACAAATTAATCTTTGCTAAGTGTTTACAATGCAGCCCATCTCCATGCAGGTCAGGCTCAACCAGATGCTCATGAATACACTTCTAACTTGGAGAATGCCATAGGAAGTTATGTGTGACAAAGTTTTGGAAAGCTGAAGGTCACTTCCTGTTTATTTGCACTTGGTCACATACTGGCTGTCAAGCCAATGACTACCTTTGCGACCCCCCCCCCCCCCCCCCCCACCCCCCTCCTGGCGGGTTCACATTTACTGTAGTACATTTTATGCTCATTTGAATCATCATTTTGTTCTTCAGCTCTCAGGGTTGGCGTAGTTTACTTAAATACTTTATTCTCCTTGGATTGTTGTCCATTAATTAGACAAGGTTATTGCATAATTATTCAGGTAATAAAATCATTTACTGTCCTTTAACTAATCATTTAATCCTTAAAGACTACAAAAAAATGATCCCTCAAACAATTTGTTAGACAATCTCAGTCCTGTTCTAGCTCACAAAAATAAGTGAATCGTATGTTCTTCAATGGGTAAAGCAAAGGAAACAAAGCATTTCATTGCATCTCAGGTAAAGAGGAGTGAGCCTGCTTTTATTGCAGTTGAAATGACAAGCATGAGAATAGGTAGGAAATAAATGCCTTTGTGGATGAGTAGTAATTAGCACTGAACATTTCCAAAGCCATAATTAGTCTGTGTCCATTCTGACTTGCTTTATCCTCCCTTTCTTTCTCCGTGTTGAGTAGGACTAAACATTCAGTAAAAGAGAGAAGGATTACAACCAAAAATAACGCAACTTCTTGTGATCATTAAAATGAGAACGTGGAGGAACAGCTGCTTAGAACAAAATAAACACATTGACACCGATGCTTCACAGTGTGCAATCACAGAGGCCCAAAGAGACAGCTGTCTGCCTGTAATTACAACCACATTCATCTCCTCTTTCACTTTTCAGTATTCTCACACATTTTTCTTTATTTATGTCATTTTACATCCTGTTTCTTTTCCCATGTTGCTAAAGAACTACTCTCTTATAAAGGATGAAATAAAGGTTTTTGTATTTTATTCCCCATTAGAAAATGCACACAGTCCCATTATTACCAAATATGTTTGACTGATAACACTTTTTGAGGATTTTTACATTGTGAACCCCACTAAACACTTTATTCTTTCATAATGCACTTTCTCTTTTACAGGCAGGTTTCACTGATTAATACAGGAAAAGCAGGCAAGTTTCAGTTTTGGGGTTATTAGAAAAAGAATTGGGCTTTTGTTACAGTATATTGTTGCCCATGAAAATGCAGTCAAACAATGAACAGAAAGAATGACAAATAAGGAAGAGGACTGCGTTCAACAGGAATGGTGCTTAATTACATACACAGCTGCCATTTAGAGTCCATTGTCCTGCCTGAATGTTGGCAGACCTCAGCACAATGTGTTGACTGCATCCTTCCTTTCTCTTTCTTGATTTGTTTGCCCCCCCCCCATTTTGAGGTTACATCACAGCATAACCGTTCTGAACCCTTTATAATTTTCCCAGTAATCAGTCTGTTGTCTTTTCGTGGCAAAGCTTTAATCAAACACTTTGTAGCCTCTACCAGCCAGAATTGTGTTATTCCGACAGAAACTCAAAAAAGCATGCAATTACTCCCAGAGGACCTGTCCCTCCTCTCTGCTACAGCTGCAGAAAAGAGGGCACAATTCCAAACATGTCGTCCTCCTACTTTGTTCTCTTCTCGATCCTTTCTTCTGTTGGAAAATAAGACAACCCAACCCATACCATAATGACAAAGGATGTAAAAATGTGAAATGTATACTTTGTAAAAACACACAGTTTAACAGTAGATTAGTGCTTTCTTCCTCTATGGAAACATCAGCTTATTACAAATAATGATATAGGATAAGCCCTCGAGGGCTTATCCTATAACTGTATAGAATTGATATTATTTGCTGCGACATTTTATTTGACATTTGATTAAATGGCAGAGCGAACAAAATTAACTAAAGCAAAGTGATGTATTTTTATTTCTAGAAAAACCTTAATTGTAGAGGTATAGTAATGGGGAGAAGGACAGTTGTATGCATGCATCACTTCAATTATTTGGCAAACTGACTTGTCATGTTTCTTGCTCTGCCATCCCAACAGTACTGATTCAATAACATCTACTGAATCTGTAGTCTTGAGATGGAATTATCTATTGAATGCTAAACAGGAAAATTATTTGTCTTATGTGGTGGTACAGCATCAAAACTGTCTCAAACATAAACTGCTCTCTTCAAAAACAGGTCCTCATTAATTTGAACATCAAATACAGTAATGCTTTCAATTGGCCCTCACAGTAAAAATACCAAGGAGAATGAAACCTCCTTGCTTCCAAAAAGTATCTTCTTATGTGCACTCATGGAGCAGAAGACACACTTAAATGGGCGCAGGCAAAGTATTTAGCATGGACCGCTATTCTTAGTGCAAAAGAGAGAACACTTGGTTATTCTTGTCAGCCTATGCAGTATGCTTTTTCTTGTGTTGTGTGCATACTATTGTTGGTTGTTGTTTATTTGCACAAAGGTTCAGTGAAGATTAAGAGTAACAAAACATACATTATTTCCTATAGCATATTTTTAGTCTTGCATGGATGGGTATGTAGCTTTCTTTTTTGCTGTTACAGCTAAAGACAGAGAACTGAGTTCTCCAAGTAACAACTAATTAGGTACACAGGTTTTCCAATTTACTTTGCAGATAGCTTATAGGTTGCTGCAAGCAAGATCCCTCCCTGGTGGTACTGTGAGAGGGCTAAGAACCCAACACCAATCTGAAGTAGGTAGATATTTTAAGTTATGTATAACGCAGTCCCACAACGATTTGACTTTTCCATAGTGTTAAAACCTATGGAAACAACAAGACTCTTCTGGGTTGGGTTTGGCGGTTGCTCGTTGACGTTTTAAACAGTAGACTGCATGTTTTCAACGTGCGGCTGTTGAACACACCCCTAGCATGTTGTCTCAGCGGTAGATTTGGATTGGACGGACTAGGGCTGAAAGAAAATGGGAGACGACTTGGGTGATGAGTGGTGGCAACACGTGCATAAATCAGGTATTTTGCTACCCCGATATTCTTGTGTTTCTAAATCTTATAGTGCGGGAGGTTTTGAAATATCTTCTTAAATTGATCTTTAACGTTAGGCTGTAGCTGTCGCGATAAATGTCGGTTGGCTATAGCTAACTGTAGGCTAGTGTTAGCTAGTAGCAATAAGCAGTGAGTTGCTGTAAACTTTTGCTACATTCTGTGAACTGTTAGCATACCATAACCATGGCGACAATATTACGACACAGGGTAACGTTACCTATAGGTTACTTACCTCTTTTTGTAAGGACGGGGAACGTTTGGGTTGGTTTTAGGACATGTTACGAGCAGATGCAAACACGTGTGTGTTTTGTGTTTGAGCTATTATAGATGATAATTATGGTAACGTTAACGTTACTCTAACCTGCCTTCAACCTTCCGTTGAACATAACGGCTAACGTTCGGTCCTTTTTACACATGTTCTATGTTCATTTTGCTGCGCCTGAATCGTAATACATTCATAATCTCACTGCATCAACACTGAAAGTTTCTGCAGGTATTCCTTACATAGTTTCATGCACTTTGCATACCAATAGAGGGCAGTCATGTATTCTAAATATCACTGACCTGCTATTGCTGCGCTGACAGCAAAATGTTGACGTTGCCGAGCATAGTGAGATAACGTATATGTTTACGAGGTATTAAAACGAATCATTTATGTTTAGCTTGTTCATACATATTCTTTCACTCTCCCCTTTATTTTCTCTGCTACTCACTTACATAAGCACACAGGCACCTAGCCTATATGCACAGACAATACACACTTAAGATAGCTCAGCCCATATATGCATTTTATGAAGAGAAAATTGATACAGACCCACACATAAAAGGAATATGATTAATTATGAATTTACTCTATGCTGGTCCCATGCTAACTTGGGCTTTGTAGGGTGCTCAGCTTTTGCCACAATTAATGTTAAATTTTTCCACTTAACTATCCATGAACATTTGAGGACATGCTCATTTTTTTTATATCTGTTTGTTGCATTACACAAATGCCCAAACATTTGCATATGACTGTAAATGTTTTTCAGTAAAACTCCACTTTTGAACATTTTATTGTGCCTGACAAGATCTCAGTTTGTAGTGGTGTTTAAAATAAGTTACTGTTTGTTTTGTGCACATCCTGTTAATAAATGGCTGATGAGCTGTTTACCTTTGTAAGCAGCAGCATTAAATTGACAGAGTCTTGGTTGGTGGCTTGCCTAATTTTCTTTTTATAGAAAAAACAAGTCATTTGTAATACGATTTAATGTTGTGGATACATTTTTCACTACTTTTTGACTTGCTGTGTCACATTAGTGCCTGTTCCAGTTTTTATTGAGGACCCCTCCGGAACTGTTTAGACATGACCTGCATAAAATTCACAATTCATTCATATGCTTATTCTTTCATATTTTCACAAGTTATTTTGTTCCATGTGTGCCCCATGGGAGGTTTTCCATTTTTCTGCCCTATATTGACAGTTCTGTTGCTTCTTCTGTTAGTGCTATATCCTTTGGTGTCAGGAAGCCTTCCTGGACCAGGCTGATTAGAGAAAAGATCCATAACTGTCTGGTAGACAGTGTTCACAGGATGTTCATTCCTGCAGTTATTTATTTTCTTTTGGTGAAGCATTTTCGTTCTTTTAGTTTTTTGTGTGTAAAGGTGTAAAAGTGTCATAAAAGAGGAACATTGCTTTTTTTCATGCCTGGTATGGCAAGCTTTTAGTGTGATGAACCATGATCCTGTGAATGTTCATTGCTGATGTGTGGCTTAGCACAGGTTTTCCAACATTATGGAAAATGCCATTAGACAGATGAAGACAAATATAATTAATGCACTCTAGTTAATTTAGTTTTTTCCCTTTTGTAAAAATATATTTGAAAGGAACAGACATCCATACTGAGTTCTTTGTGGGTATGCTGGACATTTTGCTATGTATTATTTATCTATTTATGCAGTTACAACATGTTAGACTTAAACCATTATGAGATTACATATAAGAATGAATGTACATTTTATGCTTAGAGTTGTGTGCAGCTGTTTTTAATTCTTCAAGTTTGACCCCTTTATTCTATCTGACATCCCATCCTTACTCGCATTTGTATCACAAAAATGCTTGACAGAAAAGGCAATGAGGGTGACTGAAAACTGACAAGATGGAAAAGGAGAGCTGAAGTCTGTTAGATGAAGCATAAGATTGACTTTGAAGTCTTAAGAATGAAGCAGAGATTTGTGAGAAGCATTATAACTTTTATGGCATGCTCACACTAATGACAAAGATTCTCATGAGAGCTTCCTCCTCTACAGTCTGCTCCAAACTGTCATCAGATACCTCATGTGGCTTCCACAATGCCAGCCCATAATGTCAGGACTGTTAATTTTCCTCCACATTTGTCATCATGTACCTGCTATGTCGGCTCTCTGCCAGCCTTTCCTTCCACAGGAGGCTTTATGTTATCTGCAGCTAGATTCCTATTTAGGGGACAATCCATCACAATTTCGACAGCTAGATATAATTTATTAAAGCTATTTACCAGCCAGATGGTGTATTGGACCATTTATTTCTACCACACTATGTAACCAAATATTTTGTGGTGGTGACCTGCTGATTTAAAGATGTAAATGCTTTGATTAGGGTTTAGGGTAGTCTACAATTTATTAAAAAGGTATTGACTGATCTGTCTATATACAGATTATTTATTTCTCTTGAACCTTTTTGTATTAATGGATTTATGCAAAATTTGTAAAAGGATTTTAATTCGAATTTAAGTTTATTTTTCTCAGTATAGTAAAGGCTTTTAGGAGTCCAGTCACCAGAAAACAGCCACACCACTGTAGGTCTTCCGGGTTTTATTATGGCATCAAAATAACATGAGCTGAGTTTTCCAGTGCATATTTGAAGGTCTCATACTTGCACACACAGTTGTGAGGAATTATGCTGCGGTTCAGATGGTATATGACTCAGCTTTTGAATCAAACTTGGCAAACACTTCAGCCTTTTCTATCCCAATAATTCTTAGCTTTCTCCCTTCAATAAATTGTAAAATTTTGGCTAATAAGAGTTCACCAGTATAGTTTCAGAAGTGCTTGGTTTGTTGTGTTGTACATTGTGGAGTTAGCCCAGCAGGTTAAAATAACATCAAACCAGGGTTTTGCCATTGTATGTACTGTCTTTCCTGATTTGAACAATTTTGCATTTAAGCTGGAAAGCAACCTGTTGATTGGAAATCCTTGTGAAAGGTTCATGTTGAATAAATAAAAACTACACACGTCGGTACATAAAAACATCACATAGCACTTTTAATGAAAAGAAAAAACATTAATGAAACAAATTATGAGAAGTATATTACACATTTGTTTGTGATGATATCTGACTTGGGTCTCGTACATGGACTAGATATATCAAATAGTCAATGAAAGGTTTTTAATATCAGTAATTCTGGGGACACGTAAATTAGATCCAGCAGATTTTACAAAGGCTCATGTACAACAAAAACCACAGTGTTCATATGATGATACCAAATACAAGAACTCAGTTTGCTTCATTCGTGATTATTCAACCAGGTGCAGGCTAATTAACTCGAGATTTCACATGTATGCAATGTTTAAAGGAGAATTGTACTTGTTTTCTTGCTGAGTAAAGTGATTTTTAATTTACAGTTATCAGACAATACTACCAGGACAACACACCAATTTTTCCTGAGTGTGGTAGAATCTACACAAAAGTAACACCAAATACAACTAATTCTGGGCTCTTGTTAGAAGAAGTATGTTTTAGTTTGGGTAGATAGGAATGCGACTGAGAACACAAAAACCGTATGCTCAGATTATATGTCTATGTTTTTACCTAATCACAGAGGCCACTTACAGTGATATTTGAGTTTGAGGCTGAAGAGGTAGCAGGGGATATAGTAATGCTGCTTGTAATTTTGCCAACACCTTTTACATGATAGCCGTTGGCAAGTATTTGAGTCTTTTGCTCATGTCGGAGGTAGTATGGTCCAACAGGCTGTGGGATTCTGTGGGTCATACTGTTCAGAGACTGGATATATGGGCTCCCAAGATGGATATGGATCTTGTTATCCTCTGTGGTGATGATACTGGGACTTGAGTCAGTGCTGTTGGACTTCTGATGTTGCCAGCTGTTCGGCTGCTCTGGAGTCTTGCTGTAGACGGCCTGACTTGCAGGTTCTACTGGCTCTGGAGAACAGGTCCTTACTGTTACAATCTGAACGGGGGAGCTGTGGTCAGGTGTCACAGACCGTGATGAATTTGGACTTAATACTCTAGTGATGGGTGTTCCGTTAAGTGAGGAGATGATGCGGTCAGGGCTTGAAGGTGGAGTCTTAACTGCAGACAGACCTGTGTTCTGGATGATGGTAATTCTCTGTTTAGGTGAAGCTCCACTTGTTGGGATGACAGCTTTGCTGGTGTAGGATGTGGATGTGTCTCCAGTGGGGCTGCTAATCTCAAGTGTTGCTGTGTTGAGTGTATGGTGTGGTGTTACCTTGATGTGCAAAGGCTGCCCTGGTGTGTGTGTTAACATCATCACCTCGCCATTATTAGTTTGGTGCATTTCTATGTCCTTGCCTGATTGGCTGTTGTATTGGCTTATGTTGTTATTTGTACTGTTTAAGCTGTTAAGGTTGCTGACAAGGGAGCTTCTTTTGTTTATGACTTCTGCATTGTGGTTTGAGCTCTCATCATCATTTCCATAATCTACTTTCTGAATGTGCTCGGTATAGTCACCAAGCAGACTGTCTACTGGTTCAGTTTGTACCTCTTTAGTGGTCTGATGATGGTCTGAAAACTGTGATCTGTTAGAAGCAGTTGTCAGACTCTTGATTTGTCTAAATCTGTCTAACTCACTACTCAGGTCTTTCATTTCTCTAGCCAGCTCTCTGTTCCTGGCTTCTTGTTGGGTCAGTTTCCTCTGCAGCGAAGAGTGATCCGTCTGCACTCTGCTGATGGATTCCTCCGTCCCCATCAGGTTCTTCAGTTTCTCCTTCAGGGCATCTACTTCTCTGGCTAAGAGTCTGGATTTAACCTGCTCCTTCTGAAGATGGCAAAGGAGAAGGTGTTCCTGGCTGTGCTCCTGTTTCTCTGCTTGCTCGTACCTGGAAAGTTCCCTCTTTGCCACTTCTAACTCCTCTGTTAGAGCCTGGGACCTCCTCTGTTCATTCTTAAACCTTTTATCTAGGGATTCATAATCTTCTTCTACCTTCAGCAGTTCTCCTTCCAACACCTCCTTGTCCTGGAGTCTCTTTTGTAGATTATCTAGTTCGTGGGTCAGTTCTTTGACTTTGTTGTCCTCTGTTTGGCAGTGATGGTTAGCGTTATTTGGAATAGAGCTATTTGTGTACTTTTCCTCTTTTTCTTTCCTGTTTTCCAAGACCTGCAACCTTTTCTTCATCATGGTTATTTTACTCTGTAGCTCTCCGTTCCTCCCCTCCTCTGCTTTTAGTCTGTTTTGGAGCCCGTCTTTTTCTTTTGCTATGCCCTTAATCCTTTCCTCTAAATCTGCTTGAGACCTTAGTACTTGCTGCCTCTCCTCTCTAAGTCTTTCTGTCATTGTTGCCAAATTACTTTGCTCATTTCTTTTGCCCTCCTTCTTCTTGAGTTTTTCCTCGGCCTGCCGGAGCCTCTCAGCCATGGTCTTTCTGTCCTCCACCAAAGCTACAGTCAGTGACCTGAGCTTGGCCAGGTCCTGTCTAACTGTTGCGTCACTTTTTTCCAGTTGACCTTCAGCAGCCTCTAGCTCTCTCACTCTAACCTTCAAAGTGTCAAGCTCAACCAACATCATCTTGTTAACCTCTCTCTCTCTTTCCAAGCTGCCCTTCAGAATACTACAATCCTGTTTGCTCTTGCCTAAAGCCTCCTCCAACCTGTCCAATTCGCTGATCCTCCCATGGAGTTTATCCACCTCAACCTTCAGGCTACGGCAGTAGCTGGTCTCCCTCTCTAGTCTGTGGTCAAGCTGTCGGCACTGGTCCCCCATGCGTATCAGCTCCTCGTCCTTCCCTTCCATTTCCACCACCCTTTTCCTCAGTACCTCCACCTCTGACAGCAGGCTTGGGGCTGTCATGGTGTTCTGGCTTTGGTTGAAGATGGAAACTTGGCTGTGGTGCTCCACCTCCTCCTCCTTAATGTGGTCAATGATGGTGGTCAGTTTTTTGACACGATGCCTCTGTTCCTCCAGCAGCTCACTCAGACACTGCTGCTCCTTTACAACCAGTACTGCAAAAGCCTTGAGCTTGGTCAGCTCCTCTTTTAGAGCTGATACTTCTCTTTCATTTTTCTCCTCCTTTATATCCTGGTATTCTCTCTCCTTTGCAATTAGAAGCTTGAGTCTGTAAAAAGAAACAAAAAAGGTGTCAAACAAAATGCTGTGGCCTCATTTTATTGTGCAGTTTATCTGTATTTCATCTTTAAGGACCCTTTGTGTTGTTCATCTGTAACTGCTTGGCCACAACTTTAACCACACTTTTTTTTTAAGTTGTGCATTTCTATCATAAACATTTATTTTCAGAAGAATTTAAATCACGATTTTGTCCCTACTCAAATTTTTACAGAAGCCAGGAATGCTTTTCGCTTTTGCACATCTGTGTGTAGACCTCGTTTGTGTACCTACCTGCAAACCGTAAGTCATGTAGCTATGTCCATGTATTTCCTTGTTGTTCTGCACTTCTCTCTAGGTAGCATGAGTTCTGTATGATGTTCTGACTAGCACGGCAGATGGTCCCTTGGCAGGGAATGTTTGTTAATTAAGAAGTTTCTCTACCCTCGAGTACCCTCAACACTGCACCCAATCAGCCTCCTTCTGTGCACCTTGAACGCTGCCCCGTTTCCAGCAAAAAGACAGTATTTCCTCTTGTTCGATAAGTAAGGACATGCTGGCTGCATCTACCAAGTGCTGTGACTCTTCACTTTCCCTCAGATGCATACCAGCAATGTCCAAATGCATTGATTACACACTGTACACATTTGTGTCGTGCTATTGCTGGAGAGGCTTGCCACTGCATTTTTTTCTTTTCTTTTGTTTGAGAACTGTTTGCTGCAGATTTTGTATACTAGAGTTACCCAGAGTGCCAATATTTAGGTCTACTTGCATTTATGTTCAGTCTACGTATCATGTTTGTCATTTCACAATGTAGATGCATGCTTTCTTAAATGTCCTTGTTGAAAATGTTCCCATGGGCTTTGTTTTAATCGAAGTAATATGCAGAGAGTTTATTTGATTTGTGGATAAGATATGTCGGGTAGCTAATTTTGACTGCATGTTTTTAAGTGAACAAGGTCTAGAAATCTTAATATTTAACACTTATGTGCCTTTGATAAGATGCACGTCAGCCTACATCTATAGTAAAATGTACAAGTGTCAGTGGATTAAATTAGCAAAGATGTGATGTTTTGAATGGAACAGTTGGCAGGTCTGCAAACTGATGATATATTGCTCAAATGCATACTGCACATTAATAGGCTACACTACTTAATTTCAGGATTTGTTGTGTGCGGTCACACTTTAGTTGTGAATATTGTCTTGATAGTTAGGTTTTAAAAAGCAAAGAATTGCAAAGAGTTAGGTTAGAAATGGGAGACTATAGGATTTAGGTGAAAATGTTTCAGAGTGAGGCTTAATTTAATCTCTTTTAAATACACGTCTTTGATACCCGTTTGAAATACTCTGGTTATTTGATAGCAACTTGGCATTGTAAGACATTTTATGTAATTAATGGAGAACTGTCCAGCGGTTACTTTGTAAAGTTTTTTTTTTTTCTTAGTGAAATGTTTCTAAATGCACATTTAGAAGTTCATAAGTTTTTCAATTGTTCCTACCTGTTCTGTGTTGTTGGCCTCTGTCCTTTAACTTGTCAGGGAATAAATTGCCTCTACTCTTTCACCTCTCCCTTTCCCGGAGATCCCAGTGATGTGGACATTCCATCCGGAAAACCAAACATTATGAGAAGTGCTCTGCACACTGAGTCTCGCTCTAAGTCAGTGGCGCCCATTACATCATCAGCAAATCCTTATATGGGACTGTACAGGCTCTACTGCTGTGTGTGTGTGTGTGTGTGAGTGTGTGTGTGTGTGTGTGTGTGTGTGTGTGTGTGTGTGTGTGTGTGTGTGTGTGGGTGTGTGTGAGTGTGTGTGTGTTTGTTTGTGTGTGTGTGTGTGTGTGCTTTCACTGGAGTTCAGCCCATTCCACATGAGGTCATTGTGTAACCATGCCAAAGAGGCTAATGGGAAGTACAGAATGTGTGTGTGTGTGTGTGTGAGCGAAGGAAACTAAAGCTTCAATCACAGTTCAAACTCGGAACCCTAACACTTGAAGTTTGCAGGATTAGCCTGTGCAAACATGTTAATCATGCTGCACACTGCTATAAAACCTAACTTAGCAAGTCGTAGGAGCTGTAGTTCATCTAGAAGCATGCAAACTGTGTTACTTGTTTGTGTGTGGTGTTCTCATATGTTTTAAGAGGAGACATGTTTTGTGAGTTGTTAGCTGTTTTGCCTGGAGCCTGATAACCTGCCTGGGAGATGACATCATCAGTTTATTGTCCCTTAATTACATCCATATGTTTCTTTCTCTCTATTACCCACCCCTCTATCTTATTCTCTTTCTGTCATTTTAGTTTTAACCATTACATTTTTTTTTATTATTTGAACTGTAAATTTGCTCTTTTACTGCAGTATTTATCTTTATCTTACCATCATCAATTTCTTCTGAATCCCTGTGTTCTTTTGTGGCATTACTGCAGTCAAATCTGTGTGCTCAGTGGAGCAGAGAGAGACAACAGATTATTCTGTCTTTATTCTGCTAGTTTCATCTGTCACAACAAAAATGACAAAAACCCTAATGGAAAAATAAATATTTTGGCTTTCTAGATAATGGTACTACCTTATCTGCAGGAGAAAAACAAATGTATAGGTGTGACACATGTTCCCCTCAGGGAGCAGTACTAGCACTCTGGCTTCTAGTTCCAGCTTTCACTGGGAAATATTCTGCTGGTGGTTTTTCTTCCTGTCATGCAAACCCATCTAGTCCCAATTAAAAGAGAACTGTTTCCTCTGGGTCTTGTTATCATCACACAAGAATTTGAAAAACAGACTAAAAGGCCCACTTAACTTGACTTTTTAGAAATATATGGTCAAAAGCCTTTATACTACTGTCTGCTTCTTATTGCCATTCTCTTATCACTTCCAGTAACTGATTCCGCACAGTGTTGGCTGCTTATTTCGAAGTCGGAGATTACTGTGGGTTGATAACATTTTACCTTGAATTGGTTTTGGTGTGTAATGGCAATTAAGTTGCTGAAGTGTTATCGCCTGCTATTTGGAGACCTAGTTTCTTATAATTTTAAATTGTTTGTTTTTTCCTTTGTGGAATTTTAGTGTGAAACATCAAAATACAGAAAATAAGCACCTCATTTCCAGTGAATTGCTAAAATGTCAGTGAGGCAAAACCGATGCTGTCTGAAATTGTTTCATATGATTTGGTTCAAACCAATCCAGGCCTGTTTTGATGGATTCGTATTGGCTATATAAAGCATATTTTACTCCCTTAAAATGCTAGAAATGCGCAGCACTTTGAGTGAGTGGATTGTAGGTCCAACAAATAATGCTGAAGTGAAAAAGGACCAGGAAGAGTTGCATTGCACTTTTTTGTTTTCAGCTAGGTTTTGCAGTTCAACCAGAAGTGCAAGCAGTGGATCAAGCTGTCTGTCCTGTCAACCAGAAGTGCTGCTGTTGAAGGTGAACTGCTCTTTAACTCTATTAAGTATTTATTATTTGTTTATGTTGGAGATGAAAAGAGAGTTTGAATTCCGTCTGAAACCTCCTACTGCAGCAGATCAAGAGTGATGCTATATACAAAATACTATAGAACCGTATGCAGACTGTAATAGGAAAACATCCAAGAATATCTGTGATTCTGGTAAATAACATAAGAAACATGATTGAACATTCCTAGTCAACACCCCACTAACTGTCCATCTGTCTAGAGAGAGTGTTGAGAGGATCCTCCCTGTTCCTTGCAGTTCCCCAATCAGAGTTCCTGAAGTCTTCTTTTCCTTAGAGAAGGGGCTGGTATCTGTATCACTTGTAATTGTGGACAAGCATCATGCAATCCCATAAAGACATTTCCAAGAAATCCTTCAAACTTTGCTGATGAAATGTTCCTCTTACATGAGAGGTGCACTCTGTCCTCTGTTGTCATAGTTCCTATTTTCAACCCAGGCTATAATTTGAAGTAACTGAGTTTTTCTTAACTGCTGCCTCTGACAAATCCTTGAGCTGAACCTAACTCTGGGCTGTAGAAAAGGCATATTGAGGATGCAGGAGGAAAAGCAGTGGATCAAGCTGTCTGTCCTGTCTTACTTCACTGTATTTATCAGTACATTTATTAAAATTGAAGGACGACTAAACTGACCTCATATGCTCAGTATAGCTAATAAATGGGTCCAGCAGCCTGCTGTTACCACAGCGGTTGTGTTCTGAAGTCATGCACTGCCAGAATCTTATGATAATATATGGAGATGATCTTCTGACACTTTATTGGCTAAGCAGGCAGTTGATTAATATGTTTGAGTGTGAAGGATGGACAGAACAGCTGTGGGTTTCTGACATGGGACAGCTAAGTTTACTTGGTTCTTTTTCTTTGAGCAAAATCTGCAAAGTTTTCCTCCACCACATCTAACCATACGAGAGAGCCTTTTTTAAATTGACTGTTTGAAAAATTTGTTGTCAGTGCCAACCACTTTAATCCAAACTGAATTTTCTGAGCAATTATTTTATGGATTGGCATTAACCTTTGTATAGACATTCATGGTCACCAGAAGAGAAACCATACTGACTGATGAACAGCACACTCTTCCTCTAGCACCGCCAGCAGATTGACAGTTTAGTGAGATGTCTCAACCACAATTATGTCAATGGCCATTAAGTCCTGTACAGACATTCATGGTACTCGGAGAGTGAATCACACTGACTTGCAGTAACTTGGATCTCTTGACTTTTCATCTAGCGCCATCATCAGTTCAGTTTAAATTTGTCCATTGCTTTTGGTTGATGACTTGAGATTAAGGACATTCCATCAGGCTCAAGTGAACAAGTGATAATTGGCTAATGTTAGCATGCTAACACAATAAACTAAGACGGTGAAGATAAGGTGAATCCCAATTCCCCTAATTGCATCCATGTTTTCCTCACCTATGTCTTTTCCTTGCATCTTATTCCTGCTCATGTACGATGTGTGGACAAGGTGCAAAGAGAAACTGCAAGGAGAGAGGAACTGAGGAAACATGTTTTAACAGACATGAGATGTCCTTTACTTGATCCTTCATCATGGTGGACTGGAACAACTTCCAGGTCAAGTGAGGATGAAGGACAGAGGAATGATAAAATAAGGGAACTGGGATTCAGCTATAGTGAAACATTTTATCTACTTTGGATCAGTATGTTAGCATTGTGGCATGTCAGCATGTCAGTTTAGCTTTTAGATCAAGTACAACCTCACAGGACTGTTTTTGTAGCATTTCTTTCATTCATCTCTAGCACTAACTGATGATTTTAAGAGTGGTTTGCGGGTGTAGGGTTGATTCTTTGAAGTGTTTGCGATGAGAGCATGGATGTCTTTCGTGTGTTGAACATGTGTGTACGGTTAATGCTGAGATGCTGTCAGTCCAGTGACGGGAACACACAAGAGTACTGGATGTTCAGATAGCTGGGGTTGGAAAAACCAGATTGCCGCATTGTGATGTGCAGATGTAATCATCGTTTGACACGCAACAGGGATCATACTATGGCATAAAGAGATTATGTGTCTTGACTGGAATTTACTGTACGGTTCACAGTTAAAAGAGGTCATCTGTTCTGCACATGGCACCTTGTAGAGCTACTTGTTTAGGGAAATGAAAAAGAGAGCAGGGCTGTTTTTAAGCCAGGCTGAGTGGGTCTCTTGACTGAGAGCATGTGCTTTGAAATGAAACGATGAGGGAGATTGTAAGATAGTTCGAGAGGATTTGGAGTAGGAGTTGAAGATTTTCAGTTGAATATTTAGGCTACTGCAGACCAAGATGTAAGAAGAACAGGATGTTGAGCAAAATCAAAGGGACAGGGGTATCACCATGTTCCTCCTGTGGATAAGTGCAAGAATTGACTCAACTATTTGCACCAAGCTCATGAAGAGGGTCTAAAAAAAAAACCAAGGGAGCATTACTGTGTTGATTGACTGTGCAGTGAAGTTGAGGTCAGTTATATTAAGGTAGAGAGTAGGGCTGCAATAGACTAACAATTATTTTCATCATCTGTTATTCTGCAGATCACTTTCCTGAGTAATCATTTGATCCATAACATGTCAGAATACCCCCCACCCCATCACGCACACCCATCCACTTTTTTTTTTCTTAGCTTAAACTGACACCTTCAATTTTATTGACTTTGCTGGCCAACAGTCCTAAAACTAAGGATATTCATTTTAATATAAAACAAGAAGAAAAAAACTTTAAGTTTAGAAGCAAATACTAGGTAACGTTTGGAATTTTTGCTTGAAAACAAAGTGAAACAATTTACCAATTGTCAAAATAGTTGGTGAGGAGAGGTCATGCAGAGAGATGAAAATCCTCTGGGCTCAAGCTGCCCGGAATGTACGGGCCACACAGGGTTCACGCCGCACCACAGACATGCTGTCTACTCGTGTATTAATCATCATTAAGCTGAGATGAACCACAAAACTTTTATGCTCATGTTTTGTGTGTCCACATTGTATCTGAATAGTCAGAGTCATAGTAAACTTAAACACTCCACAGGCAAGACTATTTTTGGTCTTTAATTGCGTGTGTGCCTGTGGTGGATCAGTAAAGCGTTTGTTACTTTGGCACACAGATGCAGACAACTAGTCTCCTCCCAAGGCTGGAAGCCCAGTGTTGGTCCAGTCTCTACACAGCTAGATTACAGAGCGGACTCTGGTGGTACATGAGCCGAGACATCCAGGAACTTTGACAAACCATTCCTGTTGTGGGCGTCTAATTGCATGGGAGAACCGCTAACGACCTTCGTGTTCGAGCTAGCTATACCCCTAGGGAACATCTAAATGTGCTCTTTGTTTGAGAAAGGACTCTTTCTACCCACCAGCAAACCCTCAGCCCATTTACTTAGTTTAGAAGATGCTTCATCCTGTGCTGTGTGGTATTGCTGAAGGGTGCCAATTTAGACTGTACATGTAATTGCATGTGAGTGTATGTTTATGTGTTTACAAGGGAGAATGAACGTAGCCAGGCTGGCCGCATAGTCTGACCAGGTCCAGAATGTAATGGACTGTGTCTGAGTGGAGCAACTCCTTGAGGTCACATGCACCGTCTGATAGAAACGCAGCAGCCAACAATGCTATTGCTCTCTCACTCAGCCATTACATACACTTAAAGAATCTCAGCCTGCACAAGTATACATCACAGAGCTCTGATCTGGCTTGTACCAGTGTGCTGAAATACTTTAATCCTTTAGCCTCTTCTGCACTCGCTGTAAATCTTAAATCTTTTACAACAAGAGTGATTCTGGAAGTCATGGGCATCTAGCTTCAACTCAGGCTACCAGTTTAGTGGGAGCTATGAAATATCAATGCTGTCCTTTCCTAGGCATTCATAATAGCCTTTAGGTTTTGGTGCACCAACCTCTCTCTGTCCTGCTCCAGCAGAGTGTTGAGGCAGTTGCTCTTATGGATAAAAGCCCTGAGGTTCCTCTCTTGCACTTCTAGACTGTGTAGGGTGTTGCTTTGAGAACAGGACAACTCTAGAAACTGCTCCAGCATTCGTTTGGATGAGTGCTTCTGGGCCACCACCAGGTCTTTGAGCTGAAGTGGTGAAAAGGGAAAGCAAAATGGGATGTTAGGAAGATGGTAGGGTACCTTAGTGGAAGGGTTTCTCTGTATATGTGGCAAGTGAAGTTATTACAGAATTACTGTACCAGCCCAAGGCCAAGCTTACTCTTCTGTGTAGTGTTGCTACTGGACATCAGGTGTCACTATAGAGAAAATTTAAAACCTCCACCTCAATAAAATTGGCATAGATGGTATTTCTTTGAAACAAGGTCCTGGTTGCTTAGGGTAACCGTTTCATTGGAATTACATTCTGCTTAAGAAATAGCCCTTACAAAAGGTCTGTAGGTTAGTACAAAATAAGATAAAACCTTGTTTTAGGTGACAAATTGTCAAGCAATGGATCAGTACATGTAACACCTGTAGTGCAAAATAACAAATGTGTGCAATGATGCAGCAGTAATAGATGCTCTTTTGTCAGACTAATGCATTCATCTCATTAAATTTGATTATCCGCTCCATATGGTGTCTGGTTGCTTAGCATTGGCTGCTGGTACCGCAGCCATTGGTTCCTCATAGACATCCTGCAGGTGGTCCTGCTGGGCCCGGAGGGAGTCTCTCTGCAGGGCACGGAGCACATTCACCAGTCCACTCAAACCATAGTGGGTCCCCAGTAGAGCCGAATCTGTTTTCTCTGACTTTAACACAGCAATCACCTCCTCTCTGGCCTAGTGACAAACATTGCAATAGAATAGTTGGTTTACCTTAAATATATTATGGTGATTGCTGAAACTTTGTGCAATTTATGTCACATTGGAGTTTCATAAGAGCTAGATTCAAATACAGAATGAATGTGTATGGAAGGAAATCATCCTACCTGTAATTCTCCCTCTAGAATGCTGAGCAGAAACAACAGGTCATCATGAGACAGGTCTTTTCTTGT